TGTTACAACGTTTAAAAGTGAGCTGCCAACACAAATAACAAGAAAATCCTGAAACACTTTGAGAAATGAGGTGGCACTGATTGGCTTTCACCATGAAGCCGCTGCAGGAGGTGTCAAGTTTGGATTAAGTATAGAAACCTCGTTATAGCTTTGACAAAGGATTGCAGAATAAAGAGAAACGAACAAGGTTAGGCTTAGTTAGGTGAACATGCATTAGTCTACACCAGCAACTTAATTTTGCATTACTAGATGCACTATTAAACTTACCCTGTGACACCGCTCATTGGAAATAATTCCCCTAACTCTAACAGCACTGTGCAAATGATATATCAAACCTAACAACAATACTGTGCGAATGCACGAGGAATTATACGTACATAGAGTCAGTGCTACTGAATGTGTTAGAAATCCAGTTATGCTATAACAGCACAATTATTTGAGACTAATGGATTAATGGATAGTTTTATTTGCCCTTACGAGGAATCTAGGATGCCAGTGATATTCAGTGATTTGCAAAATAACAGTAATGCAAAGTGAGTGGGTCCATAGTTAACTTTTCCCAGTTTTGAGATGAGTAATTGAAGGAAGAATCCATTAAGGGTGGTAAACACAAATTCATTAGTTGGTGAGAGGTTGCAAGACGGTGCCTGCTATTGCTAGGCGAAACTGGTAAAATGGTGCTGCACTGAAAACCTCTTTGTGATTGCTTCAGCTGCTAGCAGATATCCGTGGTCGCCTGTAGTTTGTATTGTAGATGGTTAATGGTCTGCAAACACACACCAAATATGATACTATGTGGTTATAAAAAGTGGAAGGCAAGCTTTCTTCAAAAGTAAAAGTTGTGTCTCAGGCAACTGCAGCAATCTTCAAGTGACCAAACCAAAAGTCATAAGGAGGTTTTTGGTGCAACACGCTCTTTGTGGCTAATCTCAAACAGTGACAGCCAGCAACGACTCACCAAACCATCAGGGAATACACGCCGCTTCTGTAGCGTAAGCTAGTTGACTGGGATGTCCATTAACAAACACCTGTCAGCTACAAAGCAATGTGCTACAAGCAGATCACTTCCAACTTGGATGGGGCTTTACTCTTCACTCTTAACCAAGCTTAGTACTGATAGCTTAGCATAACTAAGTAGGGTACCTTGTTAACCTTAGCAGATATGTTAGCTAAACCACTGAAAATAGCAACTTCAATAAGTCCTCATAGCATGTAGCAGTCATGTTTGACATTGCCTTTTAATGCAAAACACCAGAATAAGACTGCTGAGGTTAAACGTAGGAGGAACTGATGTAGGGTAACAGTCGGGAAACACAGCTTCAAATCTAGGCAAATAATTTACTTCGCAGAGTTCACAAAACTAGTCAAAGCTTATTATTGTCCAGGTTACATTTTTTGGCACCGCTAAGAAGCAGCATATAAAAACCACAGCTCTGAGAAATCCTGTAGTGAATTTGTGATATGAAAGCACATTGGCACACTAGGGACTGACGTGGCGGAACCAAAGGCTGCCGTATCGAGCCTGCTGAAGATTGTTTTCTTTTCTTTTCCTTTTTTCTTTTTTTAAATGTGTGTATCACTTGGTTGAGAGGAGCGGGGCAGACAGGGGCCACTGTGCTGAGACAACCGGTGATGTGATGCCATGAAAAAACCGCCACAACACGGCCATAAAGCAGACTAATGTGTCCAGAGTGGCTTAAAAAAAAAAAGCGAGGCAGACAGCAAAAACAGAGCAGAGACCCTTATCCATCATAGCATACAGGCAGCAAAACAACTTTACACCATCTGTGCAAAGAGCCTGCCCTGACACCAGGTAGCTGGAGCTTACGTCAAAAGCAATGACCGAAAATGCTATGTCACCCTACAGTGCAAATACAGAAACTTTCTGTGTGCGCATGAAACTTCTACAATCAAGTAATGAAATAATGCACCTAATGATGAATGAGACTAAAACATGTAAACACTAAAGCAAACTACGGCCTATTATTTTTGAGAAACCAGTGCACATTGACACAAGAGCATGTCTCAACAGGGGTGGGTGTCTTTTTACTATTTATATATACATATATATGAATTATGAGTTCATCTTTTGTGGCAAACATAATTACTGCGTGCAACACAAACACACACTAACAGTGTTGTAATCTCAGGCAGTAGCAGCAGAGGCCCTCATCTATCCTCTGGCACCATGTGAACATGCAGTTTGATAACCATGGAGGAGCCCGAAAGGAAAACAGGAGGGGAGGTCTGATGTTAGGTACGCTTTGAGCCAGTGATATTTTTCAAGTTTACTTTTAGTCGTCCTGTTGGCTCATTGCTTAATGCAACTTAATAATTTATTAGAATCAGAGAATCAGACTCAGAAAGGGTTTTATTGCCAAATGTTGAGCAGGTTTACAACATTAGGAAATTGCTGCGGTGCTTCAGTGCAAACATAGTGTCATAAATAGCACTTGAATAGACATGAAAAAATAAAAGTAGGGATAAGAATTAAAAGTGCTACGTAGAAAGATATGTGCATGAGCTTTATTACGTCTCTATTGCAAAATATCCTTTTATTCAATTTTCACCAGGCTTTTTTTTTCTCAACACAAATTAAGCATGCACCTTACAGGACAACTTGGCATGTAAGGTCTACTCAAGAAAGAAGTCATAACCCAATGCAGCCTCAGGTTATTATACAACATGATTCATTAGCATAAAGCTTTAGACATGTTGCAGGTTTTTTAATGTATTGTGCTTTGTTTTGCTTGTGTGCTTATGCATAATCACAGAGCATGTGTTGGGGCAGGAGCTGCTACATGGCAGTGCAGCATACAGGACCGTATCTGATAAGACTGCCAACTCTGCACCGGTAATACCAACTTGTAGCCTGGTCACAAGTGTTCTCTTGCAAAAACATGTTTTGATTATGATTAAATACATCCCAAACACACAGCTGTGTTATGTATGCAATCTCAGTTGTAGTTAACTGTTTGTTATTACGGCCGACTGTTGTCTTGGAACAGATCAGGCAGTGCTTTGAGCTTGGCACTAGCTTAATTGCATGCATGAGCATCAGTCTCAAAAGAGAATAACTGCAGATGGATCAATAAATTGGCTGTGTTCTCAAAAATACAGGCGTGTGCTAACAGGAAAAATCACACAAAAAAAGTTTGTGCTTTTGGCGTGATACTTGTTTATTTGCTCTTTTGTACTGTGTGTCTGCTCCTGATCGCACCAATTTCACCGTTTCCAAGCACTTGAACTCCTCCTTAAAAGACTATCTCATTATTTCACTGCAGCATATACAGCTATGGTAAAAAGAAAGTGCAGGCTAAACAACAACATGACATATTGCACTGTGACATTATTTATGTAGCAAAAACTAAGTCATAATGCAGAAGCAGTGTGTGAAAAGCGAAACACACCCCGTGATTCAATATCTTATAGAGCTAAGTTTAGCAGCAATAACTTGAAGCAATCATTTCCTGTGTGCCGTTATCAGCCTCTCACACCATTGTGAAAGCACTTTGTTGTTTTGTAGCTGTGCTTCAGTTCATTGAGGTTTGAAGGCATTTGGGGAGGACCTTAAGAGGACTGTTGAGGTCTGGACTTTACTGGATTTCCCCCCCTCTTTTCAGCCATTATGTTGTAGATTTGCTGCTGTGCCTACTTGCATGAAATGAGCCAATTTTCAGTCATAACATTACACTTTGGTATACAGGGAACTTCATGGTTGACTCAATGAATGCAAGGTTTCCAGGTATTAAATAAAAAATGATAATATGTCATGTTTTGGTGCGTCGGATACCCCCGTGTAGGTGTTTTGCATTAATCATAACAATTAATGTCAGTCCAGGTTCAGCATTGCATGTGACCGATGTGCACCCAGGACGAAAAATCCCAAAAATGGGCCGGTTAGGGTCAAGGTTAGGGGTTCGGATGTGATCGTGTTTAGGGTTATGCTAATGGGGTTGGGGTTAAGGTTTTGTGTGTTGGCGTTTCCACGTTGCAAAACTATGACATCACAACAACGTGACTGGTCACTTGCAATGTTGAACCTGGACCAACATCAGCTTTGATGATCCAGGAACAACACCAACGCACAGATATCAGATCATGCATCATATTTTATATCTTATCTGAGGTTGCATTTAACTAATGTAATGATTAGATTACTTGTGATTATGTCCGTATGCACGACTACTGAAAGTAACAGATACAGTGAATTTGTCCTGCATTAAAGACATTTTATATCATATTTGAATAGAAATATTTTTCCACCTTGGCCCTAGTTGCCTTTGCAACACCGTCATTCATCTCACCTGCAGACTAAGTGTTTTACCAGCAAAGAAAATCTTCACCTTTGTTATAGTCATAATTGTCCCAGAAGCTTTTACATTATCTGAAAGCAGCCAGGCATTAGAGGATAAACAGACTGAAACACACATAACGCACACACAAAATGAATATTCATCTACGGCGTGTTGACACCAAGATAACACCGGGTCGGGCCTGTCAGATTGTCTCCTGGCCTTTTCCTGCGCAGACAACAGTTTTCTTCAGATAATGATGGAGACGCAGCAGAATACCTGTTTGATTTTAACCCCATCTGACACAACCTTTCAATGTAATGGGAGGTGCTTACCTTGTAAGCTCAGATTTCCGCACCCTTGGGTTGGGTGTTCGCAACCTTAAGTGCTTTTAATGAGGTTTTGAAATATCAAAAGGTGGAGGCAAGGCAAAGGGAACTGCTCGGAAACAGAGCCTTGAATACAAAGTACCACACAAAAGTTGCTCTTTAACCAGGGGTTCACTAAACCGAAGGAAACGGGTGGAAAAAGTCAACTCGAGACGACTCATACGAGACACAATCGAGCCGTCAGTGAAAAAGCACGTTTGGTCGGAAGCGAGCCGAGCACGCTCACATGGAAACATTGTTTCCCTCCCGTAAAAAAACAAGCAGTGCTATTTCTGGGAGACTCTAATGGATATCTGGGTGATCTGAGTGCTCTTACTTGATGTTGTCCAGGCAACCAGAGTCTGGTTTCAAGATGGCTGTGTGATGGAACATCTTGTAGAGAGCGATGCCCAGAAAGATCACGTTGAGCTGGAAGAGAGAAACAGACGGATTTTTACGGGGGCAAGGAGAAGGGAAAGCGAGAGAGGCAGAGAAGAATGGGAACAAAGCCTGTGTGTTTCCTGTTACTGGTCCATTCATTTTAAATCAGGGCACTTTGTAGCACAAAGCTGGAACAGTGCGGCCAGACTCGGTTTCCCACTTTGCCAAACAGAGCGCAAAATCCTATGAAACCTCTATCGGACTAAACAGGGATCGGTGAGACGAGGCAGCTGCACAGTTGCACGGCGGAGCCTTTCATCTGACTTATTCACACTTGTCTCATCATATTCACACTTACAGGCAGCCATGGGGAATTACCGTCCTTTCCTCTTTGCATTTGGAAAAATAAATAAATGAAATTTGTGCAAACGAGAAAACTTTGAGCCTTTACGGCATCGCAAGCTGCGGCAGACTTCAATGGTTATTCTTACTTCCTGTTTTTCCTGTTTCTGTTCAAAAAGCAGACAAGTAAATAAAACTTAAAAAGAAAGTCAAGCACATCTCAGCGAGTTGTGCTTTTGCTCCCGTGTTTGTCAAACACGCTGTGATTACAGAGGGAAATTAATTGGCGGTCTTATATCCGACTGCTCGATTTAAAAAAAACAAAACCCCCACATTAAGCAGACCGACTCTGGTCTGTCTCTTCATTCGCATTTTCTCTGTTGAGTCAGAACAATAATAAGAAAATGAGTCAGTTCTGGTCATGTGGGTTTGCTCAGAATGGCTCCCTCCAAATTACAGCAATTAGGTGGATTTCATTGGCGATTTGCAGGTAGCGTTCAAGCTGACGTAAGACGAGGAGAATTAAAAATTGCACCTTTGTCCAAACACTCGCCAAATTTTCAGGGGCAGAACTGGAAGCGAGCCGAGGCCTTCTCTCCAACGAGATGGATATTCTTGTTTGTAAATCGGAGAGAGAAAGGAGTGAGTCATGAGGCACGCAGAGATGCATTGTGAATGATTACGCCAAACTGGAGCGTGAAAGTGAATTATGCATGTTTGGATTTGACAGCCAGATCGCGGCTGGGCAGCGAGAGATGCGTTTCTCGGGAAATAATCCTATTGGACAAGCATATTGTGACTTCTTTTTTTTTTCTTTGTTGTTAAAGATATCTATAAGTTTTGTGCCAATGCCGGATATTTAGCGTCATGGCTGACTGGTGTTTTTGGAAAATTAGGAGCGCATCTCCTGGTGACAAAGCAGTATTTTAGTGCTCGGCATTAGTGTAAATACTGAGATGAATGCGGGTCTTACATCAGATTTGGATCAATAAATGAGCTGTTTTATTGGGAGAAAATGAGGCCCTGTCCTAGTTGAGTTGGGAAAGGCACAAAAAGCGTGTGTGTGTGCTTGCATACCACATACTGTACGCATCTATGTGTACGCTGAGTGTGTGCCTGCGAGGAAGAGATGGTTGGGGGAAAAAAAGGTAGTGGAGTAGGACTTGGAACGGGAACAAAATCAATCATAATCGCAGTGCGGATTACTCCAGCGCTGCATACTGAGCAGAGTTCGCTCTCTTTGTCCCTCTCCCTCTATTGCTCTGTAGCTCACTCCCCCCACTCCCCCCCAAAATCGTCTCAGCCGGCGACTGCGGCAGGGTGACAAACTCCAATATATTCTCTACACCCCTCATTCGTTTTTCTGGACGGCTCCGTGCCCGGCGGTGGCATGTATGCTCAACCGGGCAGAGAGAAGAGGGCGATGGGAGCTAGGAAATTTTTTTTTAAAAGGGATCTCTGTGGACCATTTAAGCGACGACCCGCAGGCTAAGTAGGGTTAATGAGCAGAGGGGGGAGAGGTAAGGAGGGTTCGTGACGCTTACCATAATTATCAAGGTTGCTGGTCCTATGAAACTCCAAATGAAGTAGGTGTCCAGGCGAAGCCAGCAACTGAAAGAGACAGAAATAAGGTGAGCGGTGAGGGGGATTTGAAGTAAGAGAGAGGACGGGTGAATATGAGTTGAGTGGGCGGTTGGGGGGGATTTGAAGTTATAGCCCTATGCTCCTGCGCAGAGGATATACATCAAGTGGGAGTCTGAGAGTGACACAGAGGAATGGGTACTTCAAATCACAGATTGCCGCAAGTGGCCTAAAGAATTACGAGCACTGGAATTTGGAGGAAAGGGGAGCTTTCAGTGCCAGTGACAGCCATAACGACGTCCTTTCATTGCCAAAACATGTGCACAATTCAAAGTGAGAAAAGTCACGAACACGTTATGGGTAAACCCGCGAAGGAAGGTTGGAAACTACCAGAGTTTAGTTCTTTTCTTGTTCCACTCTGATTAAATCGCCATTAAGGATGATAATATATGGAGATTTAATTAGTTCTCAATTGAATCCTAACTGTATCACTCCAAAGGAATTGGATTGACCTTGACCCCGACAGACACGGCCGCACGCACGGTCCTGAAGCTCTCAACAAAGTGCATTACGTGTTCGTGTTAAACCGCGGCGACTCCGTGCGGGACTGTTATAATTATGTCAATAATGAGATAAAGCTCTTTCCCGACCCCACGCTTCACATCAAAACATTGCGGGAAGTCAATCGTCCTCTCGGCTGAAGAGAACCGAACACTGAGCAGGAGCAGAAGGTGACAGCGCTCCTTAAAAATGGCAAAAGAAAAGATACAGGAAAAAAAAAAAAAAACATGATTCATGACCTGTGGTTGAATTATTAATCTTTTAATCTCCGCCGCAGCAGCAGATAGACGGCTCCATTTTTGGCCACTGTAAAATTACAGTCCATACAGCACTGTTGTCATTCGGGCTGACGGGGAGGGGGAAATGGAAGCGGCCGAGAATTTGTTTCAAATCCATTGAAGGTTGAGGTGAAAAATACACTTAAAAAAATGTTTTTTTGTTTTCTTATATGGAGCGAAGGCGATGTCAAAGTCCGTTTTAATTTTTTCATCCAAAAAACCCCCCAAAATTGAGCATCTACAGTATTTACAGCAGTGCCCACAGATTTAGCTGCCACTTTGTGCGCATTTCTTTTTTCTTCCTGTCTGAAAAAAATTTAATAAATATATCCGCAGACAATACTTTGAAACAAGAGAAAATACTGTATAACAAGTGACAGGACAAAAATCGACTGCTCCTTTGCTATTACCGGGACTTGATATGTCTCCCCTTCGCTCGTATCAATGGATGCGACGAGGCATCACAGAAAAACACATATGGACAGATAAAGCGGCGAGCAAACAAAAGCCCAACAACACACGGAGAACTCTGGCAGCTCATCAAAGCGCACGCTCTGAATGACTCTGTTATAAATTAAACTGAAGCTTCCATTGTTCCTTTCGCCTTCTTCTTCAGATCATAGAACGATTTAAAGACTCGGTAGGCGGCAGGAGCTGCAGGCTGTCATTTTGTTTTTGTTTTTTCCTTCCCTTTCCTCCTCTTACCTATCCTTCTCCACTTATGTCATGCTCGTGTTAGGCTTTCGGAGCAGTTTTATCTTCCCCTCCTGGTGTGCTAGTTTTTGCACTACTCCTACAGTAAGTGAGCAATAACAAACAAACACAAAAAAGTGCCGGTGCGCCATTTAAAAAATAACCCATGTTCATGCCAACAGCCTGTTCTGTTGCCACGCCGTCCTTAGAGTCAAGGAGCCTTACTCTTATTCCCTGCAGCAGGGACAGTAAGCCAATGACCAAACAGGTGAGAAAAGGCATGTGAGATACGTAGGCTAAGAAGATGAGTCAAATCATCTCTTCAGTGTGAAGTTCTGCAGCACTTTTTGCCTCAAAGAGTGATCTGTAACTTTCTGGAGTCAACAGACCTCCCACCGCGTCCAAATCACATGACCTACTTAAAATAAGCTTAACTAATATAAGCAGCTGAGCTGAATCCTAACAGTGCAGTTATGTCGTTTTTATATGCAATTTGATGCATAGAAGAACCACAAAAACAGATAAAATCAACACTTATGTTGCCTACGTTGCGGACACGTTACGCTAAATACTAAAGAAGCTCTTTATATATTTTAAGATTTGATAATGAAACCATTAAACCAGGGGTGTCAAACTCCAGGCCTCGAGGGCCGGTGTCCTGCAGGTTTTAGATTTGTCCTTGATCCAACACAGCTGATTTAAATGGCTAAATGACCTCCTCAACATGTCTTGAAGTTCTCCAGAAGTCTGATAATGAACTAGTGTGTTGACCCAGGGTGAGATCTAAAGCCTGCAGGACACCGGCCCTCAAGGCCCCCTGTGTTAAACTATTTCAAATAATACATATAAAAGCAAAGCTGCTCTGAATCAGACAGTGTTATGTGCTTTGGATCATCTCAACAGATATTTGGGTTTCAAATATTTGTTTTAATTTGATATTAAGGAGCACCGTTTGCTACCAGTTGGTTGGTGTTAAGCTTATTTTCAATTTGATGCCACAAATTTAGGCCAGCAGTATCGAGCTATCAAGAAACTAACTTTTCTATTAAAAAAAAAAAAAAAAAAAGGTACCTCATGAAGACGTGCAATTTTCTTTGAGAAAAAAAATACAGAAACACATGTAGGGGAGTTTACTTTGTGCCGTCGATGTTATGTAAGCTGCCTTTGGCTGCAGATGGATTTGCATGTTTGCCACACGTTATACAACGGATACCCTTCCTGATGCAACCCTCCCAATTATCTAGCCTTGGGATGGGAGTGGGAGTTGCGACTCTCTGATTTTCAGATTTAAATCGCTGATCTTTTGCATGCAAGACAAACGTATCATTTACTACACCACGGAGCTCCTCGTATGGTCCATGTGAAGTACATATAACAAAGTCTAAGCAAACCCTTCCACTTCCAATTCTAGGTAAGCTAGACTCATGTACCTTTTTCACTGGCACCCTGACATTGTTAACAACACAACAACAAAAAAATAAGCTGAAATAATTAATAATAAAGACACTGGATTGGGCCATATTTGAGGCCAGATTAAACAGTTGAAGACTCCACAAGGCCCCGCTCACGATGTGTAACCTTTTTTCTGCACGTCCAATGGGATGAAAACGATTAACCAACTACTGTATGTAGATTACTGAATTACTTTAGCTAAGCACTGAGTCTACCCCTTAAAGTTCGAGGTGGTGTGATGTATTACTTTCATTAAACTGGAGAAATCACACAGACTCGTGTCCTTATTTGCTGACCATTAAAGCAGCCTCCTTGGACGAGACGAGGGTTAACGTCTTGCTCAAGGGCACATTTGGAGAGTAATTGCTCAAGAAGCTGGATGGAAACCCTACTCAGATCAGCTTTTCCTTTTCAATCTTGGACAGCTAGAATTCAAAAGCTAGCTTGACCTTCAGGCTGCTGTAGCGCTTTTTTTTTTTTGCATGTGTTGAGTTAATATGAATCGCTCGAGATCGCTTCATTCATCTGCGGCGCCTGGTTCACAGCAACTTGTTGGATATCTCGACTCAAACGACACCACCCACGATAACGCCACCGCGGTACCAAAAATCAATTTGCAGCAGGACCACGCGCCGCCCCCCACCTCCTGATCTTCGCCACGTGTCGCGCCTCGTCCCTTCCCCTCATCCTTCAATGGCTGCGTATAATTGTTCCACCGGTGGCAGGCTTTAATTATTCACATGATGCCAAGGCTCAGGCGGTGGCAGCTATCGCCTCATCCATCACTAAGAACTATTGCTCCGCCAATCTACAAATGCGCCGTCTACCAGTTGCTTATGTGTGGAAGCCTATGTGTGCGAGCCGTTTATGATAAACATCAGAGAAGCAAACTGCTGATGCTGGTCTTCATTATTTTCAGATCGGTTTGAGATTAACTGAGAGGAATGGAGAGTGATCCTTCGCTTGGCACCGCTTTATAGACCATGCTGCATTTCAGAGAGAAGAGCCAGGGAACCGTATCTTCTGCAGCTCGTGAAGGAAAACACAAAACGGGAGTCTCCGTCACTCCTCATCATTTTGTTAATCTCCTCTCTCTCTGCCAGTCTCCATGTTCACACTCCCTCTCGCCTCCCCGCTGAACCTTTCTCGTCCTCTTTGGTAATTTCGCTTAAGACGCCAACTACAACAGCTCGCCGTTTGCTCGGCTGAACTTTCCCAGAGTTAGCATTTTTTCACTGTCAAAACAATGTCCATTCAGCAAAAAAAGGGGAAACGCACTCAGCTTAAGTAACAGCTGAAGGATGAGTGATAGCTATTGGAGTGTCATCTGTGAGATTATTAAAGCTCTTCAAACCAGCGCAAACACACACAAGGTGCTGGCAGTGTTTTTCATCACAGTCAGTCTCCTCATATAGCGCTTTCATCGTTTCTTCAGGTTAGCGTTAGCGCGGTATTGGATCCAACATGCAGCATGAACATGTGGAAATGTTCTATATTGTGGGTTTTCACCTAGAAAACGTTGGGGGAGTCACAACAGATACAATAATTCACAAAAAGGAACTGACAAAAAAAAAGATGCATAGATAAAAAGAAATAAAAAATATCCCAAGGCTTTGATCCCTGGTATAGAAAATTGGCTTTTGATAGAGGCTTCTTGATGGAAAAGCCATCAAGAAGATCAGAGGCCCTGATATAAGCATTTTGGCCAGCTTCTTCTAGTTTTTTTTCCTCTTTTGGAGCCACATATTTGGAAGAGAGGATGGAGTTAGCAGCAAAGGCTGCCAAGCTTGGTTAGCAAGCCATACCTGTTAATCAGTGCAAGTCAAAGACTTAAAATAACATTTCACTCACTTTTGGATGGGCTGTTAGTAGATTTAACCGTCCAGCAGGCTACATCTAAAAGGATTAAAAAACCAACAACACCAGACCAACAGGGTCTAAGTCGAATTATATAAGATGACCATATCTCCTTGTGTCTGTGCGGGGTTTCTCTGGGTGCCCCTGCCTCCTCTCACAATGGCAATTTTGTTTATATAGGGCATTAAATTATATGTAAACTAATATAATGTAAACTATGTAAAAGCTTAACACAGAAGATAATCATAAAAACTACTGCATGAGAGCTACTGAGTGCAGGCCTGTGTGAGCAAGAAGGTCTGTATTTGAATGTTGGCAGAGGTGTAATTGATCTCAGGTCAGCAGCTTGTTTTAAAGAACAGGACCACTGATGACCTGAGAGGTCAAACCGCGAACTTCAAGGATGTGGTGGAGGGGCAGACAAGTCCAAATACATGCAGTTAGTGGGGGTTGGTTAATAGGTGCATATAGGTTTGATTTTGAGTTGTCTGCCTCTGTGTGTTAGCCCTGCGACAGAGTGGCAACCGGTCCGGGGCAATCCCCGCCTCTCGCCCTATGACAGCTGGGATAGGCTCCACTGGATTGGCTTGGATACGCGGGAGAAACAAGAGGAGGATAGATGGAAATACTCACTGCACATGATATACAGCCGTCATATTATGGAGGAAATTAGCTATAGAGCTCAAACCCATTTTGTCTACGATGTAAAATCAAGTGTTTCCCATGTCAAGTTCTGGATTTTATGGGTCGAGTTAACTTTGGAAACGACACTTTTTGGCTTCATTTTTCAGCCCCGGAGGTTTTACAGCTTGGAAAACACCCACATCTGTCATGCCTCTAGTGTAAAAATGAGTCTTTGTATTAAGAGCTGCAGTAGTTTTAAAGCTTAACATTAAATAAAATTACAAAATACACTGATCTGGATGTGTAATGGGTTTTATTTTTATATTGATTTTATCCCCAGAAAGACCTGCAGAATATTGCCCTCTCTTAGAAGCTGCCCATATACAATAAATGATTAAATTCAAGCAAGAGTATTTTCCATTATGGTCTTAAAAAGATGTCAAAATATTATCTTTGTGGGAATTTCGTAAAGAAAGAAAATCCAATTCATCTGAAGAAATGTGGCAGTTTTGCTCACACGCTCGCCCCACATGTACTCACACTCGGTCGGTGCCGTAGCTGCGGTAGTCCACCGCAGCTGAAACGGCCACAATTAGCGCTGGGACCCCGTAGCCCACCAGATAGAAGTAGCGTCGCCGTGAGTGCTCGCTCTCAAACACCTCCACCAGCATGATGTAGAGCTGCACGCCCTCTAGGAACATCCACGTGAACGCTGCCAGGAAGAAGAAGTGGAGGAGGGCGGCGAAAACAGCACACGCAATCTGGGAAGGTTTAGTGGTGACAGAGAGAAAGAGAGAGCGGTAAATAGGGAATGGAAAAAACAAAACAAAAAAAAAAACAGACAAGCTTCACTCGCTCTTGGCTGTTTTACCAATTTCCTGAAAGATTTAAATGTCACGCTGCAAGGCACAGCAACTGTGGCAAGGTGTGCCGGCAAACGAGCAGCGTTTTTTGACCTCTCCGTGCTCGTACCTTTCTAACAATTAGCATTGCTAAGCTTTGTTTGGCTGAAGTGACTGGATGTTTGCCTGTGTGACTGGCAGAGGAAACGCTGCAGCTACTGAGCCCATGTGCTCTTGTTTGCTGCAGCTGGCATGGATGAAAGAGAGATATGAGGGAGTGAAGTCAGCAGTCCAAGAGCCATTTGAAGCAACGCTACGGCCAGGTACGAGCAGATAATGTGCTTCCAAACTTTCCGAGCTGACAAGAGAGCTGTCCGGACCAGATGTGGAAGGCATAGATTGTCATTCGCATGTATGCACACGCCCACGCGCTTCTTAACAATAATAAGATACAGTACTTACATAGACTCATCTAATCATTGGCACAGTTGACCATAACTAGTGTATTTTGTCACTGAAATGGATTCAATTAAATTACTAAAAGGTTGAGTGGACATTAATTGCGGTCCAGGAGAGCGATCTAACAGCTGAGCTGTGAATCGTGCCCATAAAATGTTATAGAAGCAGGGGGGGCTAAAAGCATTATCTTCAACTTCACAGGGAGTTGAGCTAAACTAGGAGGCTTATTTTAGTTCTGATAGCTTTAATGATATTTAAAGAGCAAAATATCAATCTGCTTTGATTGCTCGAGGCTAGAAAGTAAAGGCACTTCCTTTCTTTCTCTGCGAGACATCATCATTTTTCTGCACTTGTAACCCAGCCGTGAACTAGCATGGGAGGACGGGCTATTATGATAAAAACAATGACAATAAATAGATCAAATTATTACGAAGCCTGTTTGCAATAATGTGCATTCCAGTGTCTGTGCCCCAGGAATGCAAAGCTAACTGTGTACTCTGCCTCATTAGCAAGTAGAAATGCCGTGATTGCGAGAAGCTGTGGGAGGAAATTTAAAAAAAAATCCCTCTGCCAACCTGTACACGTGTAATGACTCTGCGTTTGTCTCCCGTATGAGTGTCGAGAACACACGCACACTTGAAGATGACTGTACAGTGACAGCAAGCCTCCACCTGCTACCCCAGCTGAGCTCTTGAGGAAAGTAATGCCATCCAAACTACAGTTATTATACTAGGAGGAGGTTTAGTGCATTGAACAGCTTAATCCAGATTAGTCTGAAGTGTTTGCAAATTGAAAAACTGCAACAGGAGGCTGGTTGTGGGGGTGAATGGATGAATTCACGCTGGCGAATGCATATAATATAACAGCGATCGAGATATGAGAATGTGACAGCGAGTTGGCAGGTGTTGCTGTGCGAGTATGTGAGTGCACTTTCAAGTATGTGTTTGCTTCGGCACAACCATAGGTGGGAACATTTGTTGAATAAGAAGCATCCGATTCTTTTATTTCGCTGTTTCGTCTCACCGAGCCTGGCAGAGGCTGAAGAGTCCGCGGCCACTGACACTCGCTGGGAAGCAGCACTCACAGCACCACAGGACGCCAAAGGTTATATTTTCTCAAAACATTTTAGGCTCTTAAAACTGGGAAGAAGACAGTGGACGTACCTCACAGGCGATTCATCGAGGCAATTTAAATGCATCGCTCTGGTTTTACAGTAAAAAGAGTGGCTGTTTGAATCACTTCTACCTGAATGCCTCCATGGACTATCGGCATATTTAAAACCGATATACTGAGGAAACTGGTTTCAGTGTTTGAGGAATTAGATGACCTTTTGTTCATAAGAAATTCTGGGAACAACAACACCAACAGTCATCTCAGCGTGATTTATACTGTAAGGCAAATACTCCAGAGAAAGCACTTGGCGAGAGGTGGGGAGGAAGAACTTCCTTTAACAGGAAGAGACATCTAAGAGAACAAGAATGAGGGAAGAGCAGGCATTTGATGTTGCACCTCAGTGCTTCAGTGATAATGTGAAGTATCAGTCGTAAGAGTTCATGTCCGCAGAAACACACTGGCTTTGAGCCACCCTTCATTTCTTTATATTTTACAAGGAAAATGGGAAATGGCTGAAGTGACTTACTGGAACATACATGGAAATACAATATACAAGGCAAAAGCAGAGTCTATAACTCTGCTTTTGCCATACCAGCCATACCAGATATTGACTTCTGAAAGTCAATATCTGGTATGGCTCACCTTTATTCTTCAACAGAGAGGGAAAACTATTAGTCAGTTAGGTCAAAGCTCTTCTTTGGATGTTGGCTGCATTTCTTCTGTTGTCTGTCAAAATGATCCCACACTGCTTCAATAATGTTGAGGTCCAGGCTATGGAGGCCAATCCATGACTGATAGATATATCAGTCATAGTTCCAGAGATAGTTCCAGTTTCTATCCAGGTATGCTTTTCCTGCATTGGCTGTGTTTTTAGGATCCGTTCCAGATGATCCCAAAATTTTGGGATGCTTTCCAGATAGCATTTTAAGTTCCAGATGGATTTCTACATTCACAATTCTATTAGTTTTTTTAGAAGATGCCTAACAACACCGACGGAAATCATAACAGAGCCTACATCTTGTTTCACACATGCCTGTAGACATCTGTGATACAAAACTGCTCCTGAAATCCTCAGGAGGGTCGGATGCATCTCTCAGGCCTTCTTCATCAACTGTTCATCAACTTTTTTTAGGCCTGCCTTCTTATTTTGGCCTTACCAAGTGGTGGAAAAACTTTTAAATACCCTCAGAAAGTCAGGTGAAATATTGTTCAGAAATGAGGGGTGGCTCAAGACCTTTGCAGAGTACTGTTGCTACCTGTGCTTGGCTATTAATAAAGCTTGTCGCTTACAGTGTGAACACTGGAAATTTGAACAGAATGATAATTATGTACAAGATGAATAAAATCCTCCCACCATCACACCGAATTCAACATCATTGCTCAGTTATTACACAAAACATAACTATCGATTATTAACATTTTGAAACATCTTATATTGATCATTGATGTGTCCTAGCTTGATCTGCATTCTAACTGCGAGCACACAACAAAGAAATAAAGCAACGTTGTGATAATCTTACCGGCTGGTCACCCCGATTTATCCCCACCAGAAAGAGGGACTCGGCAATGAACAGACTGATGCACAGGTTTTTATGGATGGTGTTGCGATCGCTCTGGAGGCCACGGAAGAAGCAGAAGGTGAAAAGGCTGATGAGCAGGCAGACCAGCGACAGGAGGATGCCAACCCAAGTAATGACGTCTAGAAGCATTTCGTGAACAGGGTTGGTGTTCTGCAACAAAAGTGATGAGAGAAACCGATAAAACCAAGGCCAGTCCACTGTTGGTCATGCCATCAAAGAAAAAAAAACAACACAAAACAAAGAAATTTTGAGTTATTTTTCATCTTCTCAAGAAGCATTTTGATGTTTGCCAAGACCGCTTCTTTTATATCGATATAGATTTTACTGGTAAAGACAAGACAAAAAAAATCTGTGGTGAAAACAACAACAATAACCGTGAATACCAGCGACAATCCTGAAGCTTTTATTTTCATTATTGTTTCGTGGGGTAAAGTGCATTCACTCCACCAGCCAATAAACCACAACCCACAAGCCACAGGTGGCAGAAATGAATCATGAATTAGTCAGTGTGAATCAATTTAAAATGCCCCCCCGTTGTTTCATTTTGGTCGGGCAACAAAGTGAAACAAAGTGAGCCGCGCAAAGGGCCACAGGTGTCTTAGACCAGCACAACAGGAATTCAATCAAACCACTACATGGTCAATGACTTTCACTGTTGCTTTTAGATAATTTTCCCTTTTCACAAAGTAATTTGCCACCACAGCCAGTTTTGGGCACTAAAAAGCCGTTTGCTGACAGTAAATTCAGGCTTTAGCGGTAGAGATAAGAATCAACAGTTATTCTCCTGTAGTCACGAAAGGGAATTTACATCAGCCCATAAAAGGCAAGTGCACATAAGGGATGATTGGACAGGAGTAGGAAAAGGCAAAGTCGACTAAAACAGCAGAATCTGCAGGATGGTTGAGTTATTTGGTCTCAGTTAGAACCCGACATGAGGAACCAAAAACCCAAAAAAACCGATGATGCCTCAAACACTTCTCAATAACGTCCCAACCGTTGCATTTGTTTAATTTATTTCCACATAGAGTCGGCTGTAACACCTGACACACTGAAACATTTAGCTGAAAGTTAGCTAAACGTAATGGACAAATGGCTAAAACAGCTAACGGTAGAGGAACATTATCTTCTTTCATTCCAAACTCTGTTCACTGGCATTTCATTTCAATTATGACCATCTACTAAGAGTGAAAGCTAAATAATGTACCATTCAAAATCCCATTAAACAGACTCAATTGAAACATAATGGTCAGTGCTAATAACAGCATGCTAACAAGGCCGATGGGCCTTGGAGCAATGTTGTGAGCCGTGGCTCCGAAGATACAGCATCTAACAAAGCCCGCATGAGTGATTTCCAGTGCAATCCCATCTGGAATCAGGAGAAGGAAAATGCCATTATTCTGATAACTCCGCCACCAGCGAGGAGAAGCAGACTTTCCAAAAACAGACACCATCTATATGTAAAGCGTGTGGTTCAGAGAGCAACATCTTGATTTAATAACTAAACATAATTACTGCATCAAAACATAACGATCAGCTACTGCGGCTTCTATATTTCCCGAAGGGATTGTCCTCTTTCTCGGGACTGCCGGGCATTGATTCAAAAATAAATAGAGGAGGGGGGAGGGGATAAAGTGCAAGTTTGAAAGGTGGGCTGTTAATTTAAAAGAAATCTGCCAACCTCACAGCCGGCTGTCGCTCCTGACGGGGGTCAAAAAAATGTCTGGGTGGAACTTTTGAGTCTTGACTTAAAGATTACGTCTGAATGCTAATGAAGATCAAACAGGCATTATTTTAAATGTCACTTACATTTAAGTGCAGACGGTAAATTTGCATTGATGGGCTGTTAACAAGACCACAGCTAAAAACTAAGCCAACTGTGCAAGCACTGACATTGTATATAACCACCTAGTTGTCTGTTATCAAAGGCTGTGCATGCATACATTGGCCTGCAGCAACTAAACATACGACTTCGAGCTACAGCGCAGCAAGTAAATATTTGCATACACTGAGCAATCACCCTACAAGAGGCATATGCCTAATACGTCTCTCAGATGAGTCTCAAAATCAAACTTTTCAAGCACGGTCAGCAGAAGAGTTCGAGCCAGGATGGGGGTGACAAACCAACTTCTGAGTCAGGTAAGGCTGAGGAAGCTTAGGTGATGCAGAATCACAAAGAAGCCTTGTTTAGTAGCAGCTCAGCTAACACTAGCAGAGAGGGGAACAGATGCTGATCATTAACAGGCTCTGGTACAATAACAGCCGCAGTGCTCCTTGAGTCTGGGGAGAGCGCTCTTTTGATTTTCCTGCCTGATGAGCCGTTGTGTATATGTTGGAGGGGTGGATTGGGGGAGGAGTGGGGCTGGCAAGATGTTGTATACAGGAGATGTGTATGTGTGAAGCTAAGGCTGATTTCCTTATACTTTAGAAGGACGCTTATGCAGAAGGTGTCAACAGATGCCGATGTTTGCGCTTGCATGCTCTGCGGT